TGACCTGGACTTTTCCTTGCCCTTGAATTTCACTTTTATCTTATTTCTTGTATTTTTTCCCCCTATTTTTGTATAAATAATTGCTGAACGATATTTGTATATATATAGTCAAACCTCATTATCCGGAACTCGATGGGACCAAGAAAAAAAAACATTGAGATATCTTGGCATTCAACATACTGAGGTTAAAATACACAGTCAAAGAGAAAGTAGTTGGCACTTCCAGTTGACTTTGAGATATCCATTGTATTCAAGATATCCTTGTTTGAGATGTCAAAGTTCAACTACATCTTATATCAGAAAAAAATTAAAATATATTATAACATGTGTACCTCTACTGATTTTCCACAAAACAAAAGTAATTTATTAACATTTGCTTTATTCACTTGAATAACTATTTTTCCCCATAAAGAATATGTTATTTTTATGGCTTTTGAGATTGGTCAGTTTTCAAAGTTGTGGGCTGTTCTAACAATTAGAGAGAGAGAGAACATGTACATGTACCTTATTTCCATCCTAGGGTAGAAAATTACCAGATTTCATGGATTGCCTTTGTATGTCTTAAATGTAATTGAGGTATGCTGAGGAAAATTTTTGACCGTGTACATGGGGTATATTAATCCCACATGGAAAAAAATATGTCTACAGAAGATATGCATGGCCCCAAATTTAAGAAAGAAATGTAGATTTAGTCAAGATTTGTCTTCTGCAAGATGCTTAATTACTATAAACTGAAATACAAAATTTTTGCAGATCTAGCAGCTAATGCTGATGTCTTAGAAAAACATTTTTATTTTGGAGTATTTGACCTCTTCACCATTGTAGGGCAATATCAAATAATACAAATTTTAACTTAAGTTGTTTCATATGTGATCCGGTGGTTAGATAAAAATCAAAAATGCTAATTTCCTCATCAATATATTTTATAAAATATTTGTTAGAAATTGTTTGACTTTTTTTTCTTTTTGCTAAAGATAGAAAAAATATATGTACATGAAATTTATTCTTAAAGGCATTTAATATCTATATTTGGAATTGATTGACGTCATAGAGAAATAGAACACCATGGAAAAAAAAAAGATTCAACTACTGTATTAAAAGTAATATATTAATAGTTTTTCTCAGTGTAAGGTTTCGTTCCTAATATACTCTGTAATGTTGTTTCTCATTGTAGGGTTTGGTTCCTAATATACTCTGTAATGTTGTCTTTTGATGACTTGTCTATTTTCATTAACAGTATTATATTCATAGGTTATTGTAAATATTTTGTCTTTGAATTGCCAAGTTATGCCACTATTTATTTACCTATTGCCAACAATTCTTGGGAAATACTGCTCTTTGTTTTTACATCGATGTTCTTTAAAGTTAATTACAGATTTGTGATTTTTAGAACAGCCTAGATTTGATGCGTTAACATTGAAGTCTTCCAAAATTTATTTTTATTTTTAAAACCTCTCTCTCAATCTCTCTCAGGATTACTGAAACATGTAGACAGAGAGACAGAATCATGAGAAATTTCAGGGAAAATATAGAAAAATGGCAGAGGTAGTAACTTAATTATAAAAATATTATGAAAGAAAAAAAGAGAAAATCGGGTTGTCTATTCCAATCTCTACCAAGCGAGCCAGGATATATTTTTCAAATAAAGCATTATATAGAGAATCATAGTGAGAATGGTGAACAGATATAGTTTTCTTCCTAATTTCTCTCTCTCCCTCCTCTCTCTCTCTCTCTCTAAATTTTACAAAACAAAATTCTTTGAATTTTGCAGATATTCTAGTGAAAATTTCATACTGTCAAAACTCATTATCAGCTTTAAATGCAGTTTAAACTCAGATGATACAATTAGGGATAGCCTTGGTACTTACTTTCTGTGTAGTTTTGTGTGAAGCTTTTGGGAATTGCATGAATGTAAAATAAAAGATGAAATTCCTATTTTGGATATCAAAAAACTTTTAATACGAGAAGATGTGACTGCTCTGTTGCGTAATATATTGATGTTTATACCCAGCAGATATGTTTAATGCACTGTGTACATGCTGTTGTAAGTGTTACCATGCTTTGTGCATGTATTCCCAACTGTATTTTATTAATAATTTAAGATATCAAATACCGAAAGTTTCAAATAAGTACAGTTGAAATTGATAATGTTTAAGTTTGAACAGCTTCCTTTAAAATTTGCTTTGATAATGTAGAGCCAAAAAAAAAGGATTGTTCAGTTTTGTCATACTAGGGAAAGTACATATTTGTAGCTTTCAGTGGAATCACATTAAGCATTTAATTTTTCATACAGTACAAAGTCTAACTGTTTTTACACAGGGGAGAAGCCCCCTAACTACCCCCCAAATAAATCATTAAATGAACAAAGACAAAATCATTTTAAACATGAAAAATAACAGAGTATTGTAGGATTATGTTCTTTCGTTTTGCAGCTTGATTATTCACATTATTTCTGTGGCGATAAAATCTACACTATTGATTTTTAAACTGTATACTTGTTTTGAAAAAAATCAATGACAATGTAAAGCAAGAGATAGAAAATACAAAAAAGTATGAGGTCTGATTTATGTTTGGTATTTTATAACATTGGGAGTTGTTGAAATTGATAATTTACAGAGAAGAAAAAAATCTCGTCTGAAATATCACCTAAAGAATTTGAGATGGGAATTCATTTAATTGGTGCTCATCTTTGTTGGCCATTAAATGGGGTGACCGGTGTGGACTCTGTCGGCCATGCATGACAGGCAAAATCATCTCTCACTTCTTCCGAGCATTGATCAGGATCTGGACTTATCAGAATCCTGTCAAGGCATGCAATGTGGCCATTATTGTCGGAACATATTTGTAAGGCCACTGCATGGTCATCAGCTGGGCTCCATTGATTATTACATATATATATTTATATAGACAGAACTGAATCAGGTTTTATTTTCTACATTGCATAAACTTTGCAATTGACCAGGGCTTTGAAGTCTTATCAGCTACATGCAGACTGCATTCAAAACTATAATAAAAAGACAGCATTAAGGTTCACTGATGAAAAACTTATAAAAGATATCTGGTTGCTCCTTAATGGTTGAAAATGGCAATATTTAGGGATATAATGATGGCTTTGCGATCCTGGCTTTTGCAAAGCCTTGTCAAAAGCAGAGACAGTGATAAACAAAGATTTGGAGATTTACTGCTGAAAGAATATAATATATCTGTCTGTTAATAACAGAATTTCAGCAATAATTTGCTGAAGATTAGTGACTTAGTTCAATAAATCCATTGAATTTCTTTTTCAGCTCACCTGAGCCAAAGACTCAAGTGAGCTTTTCTAATTAAATTTGTCCTTTGTTGTTGTTGTCATCATTGTTGGTTTGTCATTGTAGTAATTTTTTTTTACAATTTCATCTTCTCCAGAATCACTGGGCCAATTTCAACCAAATTTGGCACAGAGTATCCTTGGGTAAAGGGGATTCAAAAATGTTCAAATGAAGGGCCACATCCTCTTCCAAGGGGATATAATTAAGAAAAAGTAAAAAAAAAAAAAAATGGTTGGGGTCATTTAAAATCTTCTTATCAAGAGCCACTTGGCCAGAAAAGATGAAACTAACTTGAAAGCTTCCTTACAAAGTGTAGATTCAACTTTTTTCAAATCATGATCCCAGGGTTATCAAAGTTTTAAATGAGTAAAATCTGTAAAAATCTTCTGAAGAAGAACAGCAAAGCCATGATCAATCAAATTTATTTTGAAGCATCCCTAGTTAGTGTAGAATCAAGTTTGTTCAAATCATGACCCCCAGGGTAGGGTGTGGCCACAGTGGGCATCAAAGTTTTACATGGGTATAAATAGGAAAAAATCTTTAAAAATCTTCTTCTCAAGATCAGCAAAGCTATGATTGGTTATATTATGTGAAAGCATTTTCAGGTAATGTAGATTCAAGTTTTTTCAAGTTATGACCCCCAGGGGTAGGATGGAGACACAATGGGCTATCAAAGTTTTATATTTGTCAGGAAATACATAGGAAAATCTTTAAAAATTTTGTCCTCAAGAACAGCAAAGCCATGACTAGTCATATTTATATGGAAGCACCCTCAGGTAGTGTAGAATCAAGTTTGTTGAAATCATGACCCCCCGGGGATAGAGTGAGGCCACAATTGGTGATCAAAGTTTTACATAGAAAAACATAGGAAAAATCATTAAGCATCTTCTTCTCAAGAACAGAAAAGCCATGTTTAGTCATATTAATTTAGAGGCATCCTCAGATATCGTAAATTCATATTTGTTCAAATCATGACCCCTGGGAGAAGAGAGGGGCCACAACAGGGAATCAAAGTGTACAAAGGAATAAAAAGAATATATCCAAAAAAAAAATCTCAAGTTTGCTCAAATCACCCCCCTCTCCCAGACCACTTTTATATTTAAAACTTTAGATTTAGATTTCTACTTTGTTTCTAGCAAAAGTGCTCAAGAGAGTGATGTGGCTCATAGGCCTCTTATTTTAATATTCATGGTCATTGAAATCGTGTTCATTATAATTTGATTTCTGTAGAAGTCATTGAACTTTGACAGTATCAAACAAGAGAAGTCTATATCAAATTGTCTTCTTGCTATGTTTAAACATAGGTCATAATAACTAAAATATTAAATGGCAATATCTTGAGAGCTTATTTATAACCAGCAGAGTCCCAGTAATAAACTGACAGATCTAGCAGGCAAGTCCTCTTTGTCTTCTGGAGATTGATGAAAGTTTTCTGACAAACATTCATCCCACTTTGTGGAAGGGTGTGAAGCTTTAAAGCTTTATTTGGAATAGTGAATTAATCACTTTCTTTGGAATGGTCTCATTTGGCTACTTGAGTCCTCATTGGAGCAAAGAGAAGCAAATTAATTGTTTTAAGATAATGACCAGTTGATTTATTATTTTTCATTTGATTCTATTTTATATATTCCTGTCTCTTTGAATATGACTGAATGCAGTCTGATAATAAAGAGAAATTTATTTGATTTTCAGAACTATGACACAAGTGAATCCAAGCTACGCAGAGAATTTGAAGTATATGGGCCAATTAGAAAGGTAAGTCACTTATCCATATTGCATTTTGCACAAAAGAATACAAACCAGATGCTCCAGACTTTCAAAGTTGCTGTTGAACATTTGAAAAAAATTGGTGCAAGAATGGACACAGCTAGCATATAATTTTTAAAAGTGGGCACAGGACAAAGATTTAAAATATGGTCAAAGGACATTGCCAGAGATATTAAAATGTAGTTAAAAAAATTGTAGTGCTTGTAAATTCTGTGAACTACCACCAACCTTAAAGGCTTGTGGTTAAAAAGTTTGCCTTGGTTACAGACTAGCTGGTTTTCATTCCTTGTAGCATTACTTTTTTACTTTAAAAGGGTAAAATATTATTAACAATTATCATTGAGTTTCACAGCATCTAAGTACTCTGTATTTTTTTTCCTGATAGAAACTAGTTGTGTACCCCTCTAAATCTTTGAACTGTGTTTTGAATTTCTTGCAGTGTTTTTAACTGGTTTGTTTTGGTAACATCTGCCTTTACCACAACTTTGATTGAATCAAAGAGTAAAAAATGTTGAACACAAATTCATATTTTCTGGGATAAGATGCATTAATCCCTCATTGTTGTGAATTTTTTGAGAGCATTCCATGGCCAAAAGAACAGTCTGTATGTTCTACAAACATGGTATGGCAATTTCAGAACCTCTAAGAAAAGTTTTGTTTGTTTGTTTGTTTAACGTCCCTTTCGAGAATTTTTCTCTCATGTTGAGACCCCACCACTTGCCGGTGGAGAATTGCAATTTTTTTACCTATACTCGGCACTCGGGGGTCATTGAGCAGTAAGGGATCTTTTTCGTGCCAGCACCTACTGCAACACGGGACCTCGGTTTATACAGTCTCATCCGAAGGAAAGGTCTCCACATCCCACAGTGGGATTCGAACCCTCGACATAAGGATCAACTCCTTACTCTGTGACTCCAGAGCAAACACTCTAACCACTGCTCCAAGCGGGTGACTCTAAGAAAGGTAATGAAACTCCAGAGTCCCTGATATTTTTCCAATCAGTTTCTTTAAAATAGGCATATGAACAATACTAATGGGTCCATATATACCCAAGTATTGTTTTTTGCAGTTGCTGGGAGAGTGACCATTTAAAGCAGAAAATAGTGCTTTGTCTGCTCTGCATAGACCTACTATATAGTCCAGAAAATACTTGCTCATCAATTCAGATATTCGAAGTTGATTTCTGTCAGTGACAGCATTTTATTTGTGTCTTATTTTTGACATTTGTTATCATGAAAGGTTATTCACTTAAGTTCATCTGGAGTTTAAAAATATTGCATTGTTTTGATACCATGTCCAACTTTATTGCAAAGTGTTGTAGAATTTGCTTTAAATAAATACTCCTTATCTCCTGTGGAGTAATTACAGAATTGAAGGTTTTCAGACTCCAGTGCAATCCTATCGACAAGTGTGAGGTAGTGAAATTACAAACCCTGCTAAAATTATAGGTGCCAGAGTCTGATAGCAAATAAAGTTACATACCACAGAGCATATTGCCATCAGTATTTCTCTTGTCTAGAGGGGGGCTTATAAAAAGTACACATAGCCCCAGATGAAACAATTAATTTAAATTTCTTATTTTGTTTTATATTCATGATTTTTTTTTCATCTACAATTTAGCTTTATGTTCTTGTTTTCATAAGAAACAAATTCATTGTGGCATCATTATTTTTTTTGGCTTCATTATTTTTTACAAGCATGTCTCTTAATGAAAGCTGACTGCAGAAGAACCAGGAGAATATAAGAATAAGAAATAAACTAATTTGTCGACTATTTTGATGGAGGAGATTATTTGTCATGACCACAGTGGAATGTCCTCTCGCTGAAGTGCATATTCTTCCATTCAGATGAAAAGTACATGTTTCTTTTCAACATATAACCCACCTTTTGTATCTTTATCATTTTGCTGCCAAAAAGGATAAAAATACTTTTTATCAATGTTTAGACAAGATATATCGGTTGAAAAAAAAATAGGAAAGAGGAAAAAAAGAAGTTGCAAGAGAAAAAAAAAAGCTAGAGGGCATTTGGTAGCCTCAGTAGAGAAAGATGTTGTGCAGATGTTCTGTAGCAGCCGTAATTTTCTTTTCCTCCCCCCACCCACACCTTCTAATCAGATGGAAGATTAACTGTGGAAAGAAGCTTGTCAGTTTGACAGTTTTTCTCTTAAACTTATATTAACCAGAATTTCCTCTACTACTTTAGTAATGCTTCTTGGTTTTCATTTTGATTCGCAACAGAACAGATTACATTAAATAGTTCATCACTATGGCAGGTGATTTGAACATCACTTTAAATAGTTTTAAGAGAACAACTTCCTTAAAATTAGATTATTTCTACCTCTTTAAGAGATCTATAGACAAGATTTTTTCCAAATGTTAAAATGCACCTATAAAACATCTATAAAGCTGTGATTTTTGGATAGCATTTTTCGATAACATACAAGTCATTATTAAAGTTATAGATAAACCACAAGAGTGGGTAGGCAGGAGAACTCTACTAGTTGTAGTATTCTCTATTGAGAAGTTGATGGCTCGTTTTAATACTCCCCCTCAAAACTTCTCAATAGAGAATACTAGTTGTAGTACAAGTCTTGGTGGGATAAAGAGGATTTTGACCTGCCCGTTTTATTCTTGTCAGGCTATTAAAATTTCTTGAAAGGAAATTATAACTGTTGCTCAAGCAGTTAATTATCTAAATTGGTGCAACATTTGTTAATATGGGAAAACCCTGAAAATTTCAGACATCACTTCTCCTTTAAATGTCAGATAGAGTAAATACAGTGTAATATGAAGCTTATTATCAGGGAAATATGGTAATGTCAAATGGCAACTCCCACACTTATTTTCATTGTTCTGGACACTACATACAAACTGTGGACAATTATGATTAGTATCATAAGTTGGAAAGGGGGTTAAAAAAAGGGGAGAGAAAAAGCGAAGGAAAAACTAACCTCTTCAGAACCCCAAAACCATATGGACACACGGTTTGTATGCATCAGAAAGGCATTCCAAGAAAATTGGCTCAAATTCCAGTCCCCGAACCATTTGAGAGTTTCCACAAAATGACTGTGACTGTTCATGTACAGAGTTTCTGCAAAGCACAGATTTGACAACAGATAAAAACTGTTGCTATGACGACAAAATGGGACAACACCTGAATGTAGTTCTTCAAGTCTTGGCCATCATGTTTGGATCCAGTGACAAACTTTTTTTTTTCTTTTTCAAGGAAAAAAATTTCTCATATTCCAAGGGCAGGATCTTCAATAGTTAATTAATATTTCGTTCAAGTGCTCATAGTAGCTGGAAATAAGATGGTTGAAACCCTTCACTGGTGGTAATGATATCCCAGAAATTCAAGAACAACCATAAATATTCCAAAATAGAATCAAGATGTTTGGGGAAACTACAAAAAAACAGGTGAAAACAAAAGTTTGGTTGTCTTGCTTTTTCTGCCTTGATCCTCGGTGGTTGCAGGAGTTTTTGTTGGTGAGCCCAAACCATAAGATTAGAATCCTCTTCAAAACATAGACTATCGGTATCTCAAGAAAAATTTATTCCGCATTTGAACTCTATTGATAGACACATTTAAGCTTCAGTACAAAAAAAATAAGATCAGACGATGATTAAAAGGTATTCCTCGCTTTGTTCCTATGCCTGCTTTTTCCTTACAACCGAATGACGCTAAACAGAAAGGAAGAAAAGTCACTTTTAACCAGGGGAGGCAGTGATGATTAGCAAGGTTGTATGCAATGTTTGTCTGCTAAATTTGAAGCCCTGAAATTGGAAAGAGTTGGGTGCACTCTATTTTCCCTGGTCATGCCTGAAATTCCTACAGAGCTGATTAGGATCCCAGTCATTATTTATATTTTCTGATTATATTCTAACGAGAGAAAATTGATGAGCAAATAGACAAATCCCTAAAAATAAGTGAAGAGATCAAAAACTTGATGTTGATCTGTACTTTTCTTTAATCTGATTAACGATTTTTCGATGATAGTTGGGTTTGAGTCTATAAAACACTCAATAGGCATGACCTGCCATTATTAATTAGGAGGAGATGAGAGAATCAGAACCATTGACAGTTGTGAGGATGCTGAGAATAACTTGTCTGAAATTCTGCCGTGGTTCTTAGACAAGACACACACAAGAAGTACAGTTAGTGCCACAAGTTAGTGTTTTGGGGGGAGAGAGACAAAATTAATGGCAAATATGTGAAATGGTGTGGTGAACTTGACAGTCATTTATCATGATTTCCTTGGGATCATCCATCAGTGATTATAGAAAACAAATACATGTGTTAGGTTAAATGACTCCTCTAGTGTTATTTTGATCCTAACTTCGATCTGTGGTATTCTTTGTTACAAGGTCAAGTAGACCCGTTGAGGTATTCCTTTACAGAATCAATAATGATAAATGGGCTTGAGTTGATTATCAGGGATTGGATGGCAGTATTATTTCTGATTTTTATTAGCTTAATAACTAGTTTATGCATACTGTTATCTGTTAAGACTTTAATTTCAAAAGAAGCCTATTATCTCGATAAAAGTAAAGGGAATTTAAAGTAAAGTGTATATCGTGTAAACTAAATTGGAAAAATATCTTTCTACATCAAAGAGTATGTTCAAGAGAGCTTTGAATGTTTTGTTTCTTGACATTCTTGATATAATTTGTGCCTTTGCTTGCAAATGTCAACTAAGAGGGGTAATAGAGACAGATATTTTGATGTGTTGGATATATACGACCATCCTCCTCCATTAAGATAAGTAATGTTACCACAGTAGGATATTTGAAATCTGGAATGAAAGTACAAGAACTGAGTTGTAATGAGCAGCACATGCAGAAACACAATGAACCGATTTTTTGGGCCTGTGAAAGCACTTTTAAGTTGGTGTTTGAGTCTCTTTGTTGAGATTCCAAGACAAGGGAGTGATAGGTAATTTGTTGTGTACATAATTCGACTGTACCTCATCAAACAAGAGAAGAGCACAGATCTGCTCTGTTAAACAAACAATATGTGTACAGATTTTTTTTCTCTGTTAATGTTGGAGAAGGATGGAGGTGGTTGTTGTTGGGGGGGGGGGGGGCATATTCTCTGTGTGAATGTGCAAAATATTAGTAGCATATAATAATCTGGCCAAAACCTGGACAACACAGTGCCATGTTTGTGACTGTTTACCAAAATGCCAACTAATGTGGAATCATCATTTTTCCTGGGGGACTGTGATGTTTTTGGACTTCATGGTTCACACTTACCCACAAATTTACATCCCAAACAATGAACAATTTATCAATAATTTACTTCATTGAATCTTCTGTATAAATACAAATATACCTACAAAATTAAGTCCCAATGAACCAACAAAATTTTTATTTTTCCCACAAACATTGACCCCTCCATGAATAAAAATGATTCCATATTAAGTAAATAATTTGTATTTTCCTTCTGACCAGCTCTTGAAAATTTAAATTTGGGTAGAAGTTTAGTCATCAGCCCAATGTTATGGGTAAAGGGAAAAAAATGGAGGAAAAGTCAGTGTATTGAGATAGATGAATTTTGTTTCTTTTTTCAGATTTCCCTGTTGTCTGACAAATCTTCAGGAAAACCAAGAGGATATGCATTTATAGAGTTTGAACATGAAAGGGACATGCATTGTAAGTAGCAATTTCCATGGTAACAAGCTACTTCCTGTCAGAGGTCTTCTGGGAAATTTTGGCAGATTGATTATGGATCTGTATTTTAAAACATTCCCCAACAGACTTCAGTCAGTGTTGTGGTTTTAAAAAAAAATTATGTTTCTGAAAAAAGCCAGGGACACGCTACGTTATCAAAAAATTTGTACTCTTTGGAGTCCATACCATAAGCATCAAAAGCAGGGCTGGTAGCTTAGCTGTAGGCACTAAAATCTTTTTACTGTTAACTCTGACATTAAGCAAACTCTTGGAAGTAAACAACTCTCAAAAGTTACTGCTTGTGTTTCCTCCTTGTCTGCACAACTGATATAAACTCCTCAATGATTTATTGGGTGTCAGGAATGTTTTATCACAAGTGTTACTTAAGATTAGATAAAAGATCTCTATCAAGTTTTCTCAAGTTAGCACACACAAAAAAATACCAGAATAAAGACTTTTCATTAGACATTAAACTCATAAGTACATTTTTTGTGCGCAGAAGTTAGGCTTAGTTACATGTTAAATAGTATTCCTTTCTAGAGAAGCAAACAGGTGTCTTCATCTTAGAATGGGTTATAAAACAAATGGACTTAATGATGCTCTCTTAAATATCATTATTGTTATTGTATATACATGTATAATGTTTGTGTTTCATGTCTTTTCATGGTAAGTATTGTGGCTTAAAAAATTTTGTTTTTATATATATATTTTACATAGAATATTTATCACATCCATAGCAAAAAAAAAAGATTTGCTGTAATCTGCAAAAGAAAACAAAAATCCTTGGCATTCTAACCAATGTCTCTTATTTCTCCTTCAGAATGAGAGAACAGAAGGGGGTTACATATTGACCCTTCTTGTTCGATTCACCCAATCTGACTGTGAGAAATTAATTGCTGGCCATTGATAGGTTTGTATGGGAGTGGTAAGACAAATGATTTGTCCCCAAGCCCAGTACAATATCTAGCCAAATGTTGACTTTAAGAATTGCATTAAAGTCTTTAGGGTGCATGGAGTTTTATTTCAAAATAAAAATGAAAAACTTCCAACAAAATGATAAAATTAGCTGTAATTTAAAGAAAATCAAACCAAAATATATTTTGAATTTGAGGCATCTAGTTTCAAAATTAAGTCAAAATCATAATAGTCCCCTATTTCTGTCCCCACCTAGATGCACTCAATATTGTTTTTAATGGGGAAGGTAAGCCATTAAATTTCTATATTCTTGAAAATAAAAATATTTTTTAAAAAGATCAGGTAAGAAAATTCTAAATTTAAAAAAAAATCAGGTAAGAAAAAAAATGTAAAATTCAGGTAAGATTTGATGGAGTTTGCCAACCATGGCAAGATGGCATGTCTCCATGTCAGCCATTTGGGGTACAATGCAGAAAAACCATCCCTTTAGATCGGGAAGAGTTTTACAGAAAGTAGCGTAAGTGACCAGGTATTTTCTGAATTGACAAAATTTTTTGGATGTTTATTATTCTGATTATAGATGTTGTGAAAAAAATCAAGTAGATTTTTGAATTATCAAAAATTTCAAATTTTTTCTTCCAAAATTTTTTTTTTTTTCAAAATTTTTGAAATTATCCTCCCTGGGTAGGTATCCATTATCCCCCCTTGATAGGACTTTTGGCCACTTTCCATTTGCAACAAATGTTGCTATCATTGTACGTGAAAATTTACTTTGCAGGTCCAGTTCTGACAAGGTGATAAATGACAGTGATTTTCTCTACACTACATGATGAGAGGGAATATGTACCTTGAATTATATATACCTTCTAAAGAAAAAAGACCCAAACAAAACAGAAATTTAAACATTGCTGTACAGAAAATCACTGTTTAGCATTTGTTTAACTGTAGTATATTTTTCCAGTTTCAGCTGTTGCCAATTTATGTCATATTACAGCTCTGCAATCCAAGAATATGCAAAAGTTATGATTAATATTTAACCACTGCTAAAAGTGTAGATTGAAATAGAACAGCATCTACACACTCAAATTTCAAAACGCAGTTGAAAGGATGTAGTAAAATACAGTTCATTAAGAGGGATTTGAATTATTTACAAGTTGTTTCAAATTAAATAGGTCAAGGTTATTTTGTCTGCCTATTTAACATGTAAACAATTAAATAAGCTGTTGGACTGCCAGTGTGAATTTAGTAATTTCTAGGGTATTAACTGAGTTTATAGCTGCAGAGAGTAGGATGTGTATTTATCTTGTATCATGCCTGGATTGCATAGGTGTGATTTGATATGTAATTACGATAAGCCTTTGGTATAAAGTAGTGAGCTGTAGAAATATATCAGTTAAGATGATTTGAAACTTCTTTAATTTAGCGGCATACAAACATGCAGATGGTAAGAAAATTGACGGACGGCGTGTTCTGGTGGATGTGGAACGAGGGAGGACAGTGAAAGGCTGGAGACCAAGACGATTAGGTGTGTAGTAGAAAGTGACAAGAAAATAAGTATTCCACTTAACACACCCCTAGTGATTACATGACATGATTATGTGTGTAGTAGAAAGTGATAAGAAAACAAGTATTCCACTTCAAAAACCACCCCTAGTGATTGCATTTAAAACTGAATTTTTTTTCTTCAAAAAATTGAAAATAAATTATTGCAACCTGTCTGCTGTATTCTAAAAAGCAGCAATGTTTCACAGGAGAATTAGGAATCCTCTGATTAGTTGAAATAAAAAACTTTGCATGACACCTACCTTCTTTGAAATCATAAACATGCCCACGGACTGACTCATTTTCTCGCACGTTTGACAAAATTCCTGTAATTGAATTCAATTCCAGTTGCATGAAGAACAGTTATTTACCCATTGTAACTTGAACAATTTCATCTTTCTTTAATACAGCATGTTGGAATTTGATCAAATGAAAAATGTCTTCATTTCTCAATCACACTATGTGCAAACAAAGTGCAGATAGCTTTGAAGGAGAAAGCATGCATGCTTTCATGTTAGAATGAATTTTCGACATCCCTTGTAAGATTATGAGGAGATTTGATATTTTATTATGACGTTAAACATTTATTTCACTGTCGGCCAAATCGGCCCCATTCTGTATCATTTTAGTACTCCAATTGTCAAGCTTCAGAGAATGTTCCAAGAAATCTGGGGGGATTTTTCCTGGTCAAACAATCTGCCCCAAATCCTTTGGTACTTCATAAGATGCACTTCTGGTCTCCAAATAGAACTTGTTTGGTAAATTTTTGGGAGAGATCCATTCCTCTTCATTAAATCTTGTCTTCATTTTAACTAGGTATCAGTTTTTGATATCTTCTGGAAATATGTTACTGTCCAGTGATGGAGCTTCATTTTTTTTCTCCAAACTGATTAATCTTTTGTGTTTAACCCAGGATCAATTTGGCTGTGTGAATAAAAGAGTATTCCCCAGACAATTTCCTCTTTTCAAATCCCAACAAATAAGAAAATTGAGGTGTCTTCCAATTTGGGAAGAAATGGGAAAGAGGATGCTGAAAACCAGTGATGTGATCTTGTTGTAGAATCGGGGGTTTTCTGTTGCTCACATAATATGAAGCTTGAGCAATTGACAAGATGTATGTTAACTCTTAACATTGGTTAATTTTACAAGATCTATTTTAGTAGATGCAAAAACTCAGTTGTAGACAACATAAATCTGAGAAAGCTCGGTAAACATTTGACAGACTCTATTTCCAAGCTGCTTACACTTGAATGACGCAACAAATCAAATCGTCTGATAATGTACATGATTTTTTTTAATTGTGAAAAATCTTGTTTTGCAGATTATGTTCTTATTTAACTTGACAGATTGATGATTAAATTCAATGGCTAAACATGGAATTGTTATTTTCCCCTTGTAGATGAGATAATTTTATATTTATTTAATCATCCTCAACAAGATCTGTGTTTCTGTTTTGACCCTCCTTGACATTGTAGCACATGCCAACTTTCTCTACATCACAAGTTGAAAGCTTTCTAAATTTTGGTATGAGCACAATTAAAAAAGTGTTTAATGAAATATGCCTTCTCTAGACTTGACCTATATAAAAGTCAGCTAATTCTTTTCCTCAAGGGAGCAGAGTATTAAGTTTTGATTTCTATGTCCTTATAACAATTTGACCCAGTGGCCTAGTGACCTTTTGTCACATAACTATTCATCAGTGGTGCCAAATATAATTTACGAATAGTAAGAGGGTGAAAATACACAAGGTATTACTTACATCATTGTGATTGCTAGACGATACTGCCATTGAAGTGAAAAATAGTAAAAACAGATGCATAATTTGCACAGTTCTGGCCAGGCTATCACACTGTTTATTGGACCTGTCAATCATTATCAGACCTTACATTTTACATAACAATTTGACAGTGAATTATAGCGTGTTTTGGATGCTTTCCTATCCAATAATGTATCGTAAATAGTTCTAAGGAAGACTTCTGTCTCCCGTATGATAAAAATTATTAGCTATATTAGTTTTACAAAATATATTTGTTGCATATACCATATATATATTTATTTTTGAAATATTGAAATTTTTTATTGATCTGAATCGTTTTAAATCATGTGGTTTATTGTTTTCTTGGGAGGATGTGTTAAATGTATTGTTAATTGTAATGATGGCTGTTTAAGTAGTGACATTTTCTCTTGCAGGAGGTGGATTAGGAGGAACCAGGAAAGGGGGACCAGATGAAAACACTCGATTTTCGGGAAGAGATGAGTTCAGGTATGATAAAAATCATGTACCCGGGTATGAATAAAGTCATCAGTAATGAATAATTAAATGATTTATGATAGTATTTTGAAGTACAGTTGAACTTTGGTATATCGAACACTGATATCTCGAATACCGATTTAGAAGTCCCAACCACTTATTTTTTAAGTATTTTACCCTTGATATCTCGATCATCATCGGATATCTCGAAGTTTTTTCTCGGTTCCATCGAGTTCGAGACAAGGTTTGACTGTATATTATTTAATCAAAGTACCAATAAATGCTGACTTTTAACTTTGACCTTTGTAGTAGCTCCTATCGAGATCGCACTGGCCGAGAGGAATCTCCCAGTAGGGATCGTCGACGACGCAGTCGTAGTCGAGAGAGACGAAGAAGTCGTAGCAGGGAGAGGAGGAGAAGCAGGAGCCGAGAGAGGGCAGAACGAGAGCGCCCTAGGAGAGAGGAGCAAGGTGAGATAACTAAATAAATGGCTTGCCTTTGTAAGTGACCATTCATCTTTTCACTTTTCACTACGGTGATCTGTTACATTTTAAGAAGCAATGCTATAAAAAAAAATGGTAAAGTGCAAGATTTACGCTGATATTTTGACATAGCTTCCTTTCCTCCTACAGAATGTTTATTTCTCTTCATGTAATTGCAGCTGAATCATATCTTTGTTGAATAAAAGTTCAAGTGACTGTCAAAAGGGAGTGTACTCTTTGTATTGGCTTTGCTGTGTATCCAGAGGTATCATATTTTCAATTCTTGATTGCAGTGGAAGAAAAAGAGAGAAAGAGAAGCAGAAGAAGTCGATCAAGAGACAGGAAGAGAAGTCGTTCACCTCGTGACAGGAAACGCTCCAGAAGAAGCCGCAGTCGTGAACGTAAGCGAGATCGTGAAGGAAAGAGAGAAGAAGGAGGGGGTGAAGGTGACCAAGACTTCGGGGAGGACGGTGTCCCCATTGTTAAGGAGGAGGATGTCGATACCTACACAGGCTATGGAGGGTATAACCCTGATGAACAGAATGGGGAGGATGATGAAGATGGACAGAGGGATGAGGAATATGAGGGTTGAAGATCTTGAACAGCAACAAATACTTTTCTTTTTCAAGTTACCTTAGAAAATTCAGTGTGGTTAGAATTTGTAATATCCTGCAACTTTTTAAAATTTTTACCTGCAAGTTGATGAACACTTGGATATGTTGATGTCTGTCCTTACGTGTTGACATGTAATGTTAGAATTTAATATATTGTGAGCCACATTATTTAGTCATTTTAATCTTCCTGTTGCTTTCCATTCAAAGTGCTTCATTTGATTTTAGATTTATCTATGTTGTACATTGTTGTTGTCATTTGAAGAGGAAGGAAAGCAGTATGGAGTATTGTAACCCAGTAATGGGGTAAACTACTGTTGGAGGAAAACATGTATGAAGTTGTCAGCTTGTGCTTAAATAAATTTGGTGGCAAAATATATGTACCAGTATGTGTTTTCTTTCATTTTACTGTAAAACATGAATCGGTTACAAATAAAACCTCTTTTAACTTTTGTATGAAGGATTATGGAGGTGCATGGATCGAGAAATATTCTCTTTACTGAATAAAAGTTTGTGTGTTCCTTTTAAATGTCTTGATTAAGAGGTTGTACTGATTGACAATGTTCTAGTATTTACTGGTAGAGATGATATAAAATGTCCAAAATCTGACAGACAACTAACTTAATTGTAAATCTAGCACCATTTTAGTGTACAACTATGTTTTTAAGGCCACATAAAACTCAATGCTGTCCACTTTATTCACTGTGTAAGTCACTTCTTCAGAATCACTAGGAGCATATTTTAATCAAATTGCACCACAAAGCGCATCCTTCAGTAATGTGAATTTAAGTCTGCTAAAATGAAGGAGCACGCCCTTTTTTAGGAGAAATTGATAGTTTTAGAATCGGCTTATCTAGCCAAGTGTCTCTGATTAGGTCTTTCCTGGTTGTGCTTTCAAAAACTGAGAATCCCATTTAGTAGCATTATCCTGATCTTACAACCATGTTAGTCAAAGTTGAATCTACACTAGCTAATGTTTGCTCATATGTTATAATTTTTTTTTTAGCAGAACTGGTCAGAGACCAGAAAAACTTGTGCGATAGTAAGGTCATTCATCCGTCAGTTTGCTTGTAAACAATTTTTCAGAATGCTTCTGCTCAGGTTTGGTCTGATTTCTGTAAACTTTTCGTACATGTGTAGACTACACTTAGATAAATAATTCTGCTTTTAATTTTGACAAATGTTATTGCCATGATTAATTCAAAATGCTGCTCCACCAACAGTTGATTTCAGTAGAACTTGGTTCTCAAAATGGAATAATTAAGATACATAATTGTTTATACCCATACACAATTTTACTCTCGATTTCAGTAATTCTCCTACACAAGTAAACTTCACTAAGATACACTATTCTCATTGAAATTTCTGAGAAATTCTCTCAAACTGCTACATGTACTCCTTGCAGTTTTGCTCCAATAGCAAGAAATCTTGCCACACAAATGAGTAGACCATGAATCGTCATTCTATTTAGTGCTTTTGTCAAAAATTCTAGTCAAAAAACGTAGTACTTTTTGTTTTGAATATAAAGAAGATGGGTGAACATGTCGAGCGAAAAGCCTATAGTGTGACAAACATGAAGATGAAAAAATGAATCTCAATTATATAAAAATTTTCCTTGATATTTCATCTAACATTAAAATATACTTTATGTTAAATCTCTACAATTTGCAAAAATCTCTAAAAAGATTGAAATTATTTGCCTATGAAATATTATACACACACTAAAGAGGGCAAAAAAGAGTCATTTTCTCATACTATAACACTATTTTTCGATATGAGTGTGTCTTCACTCCATTTTTTTGAAAGTTAATCCTCAAAGTTTGCATAAAAATATATTTTTTTTTTGGTTACCAAAAATATGGAGCAAAGACCCACTATACCTTAAAAATATACATTTAAGACATAACATTCGCATCTTTTCGAGAAAATCTTAAGTCCATTAAGTCAAGGGTCATATCACAAACCTGATTTTAAATGCCACTATTCATCAGGACCTGCGTAGTCTAGTGGTTAGCGTGCTAGTCTCGAAAGAAAATGATTCTTAGGGGTTTTATGCCCCGGGATCATAAGATCCCAGGGGTATATTGTTTTTGTCCTGTCTGTCTGTTTGTCTGTTTGTCTGTCTGTCTGTTGTCAACTTTAACCTTGCCCATAACTTTTGATTGGTTGGAGCTATGACTTTCATATTTCACATATGTATGCCTTGTGACAAGACCTTTCTTTGGGTACCATCATATTTGACCTTGACCTTGGAGTTTGACCCACTTTTGCAAAATTTTATGAAACTTTAACCTTGGCCATAACTTCTGAACAGTTGGTGCTTGGGATTTCAAACTTCACATGTGTATTCTATGTTACAAGGCCTTTCTTTGGATACCAACAACTTTGACCTTTTGACCTTTACCTTGGAGTTTGACCTACTTTTGAAAAACTTTAACCTTGGCCATAACTTTTGAACAGTTGGTGCTTGGGATTCAAACTTCACATGTGTATTCTTTGTTACAAGGCCTTCATTTGGATACCAACAACTTTGACCTTTTCACCTTGACCTAGGAGTTTGACCTACTTTTGAAAAACTTTAACCTTGGCCATAACATTTGAACAGTTGGTGCTTGGGGTTTCAAACTTCACTTGTGTATTCCTTGTGACAAGACCTTCCTCTGGATATCAACCTCTTTGACCCTTTGACCTTGACCTAGGAGTTTGACCTACTTTTGAAAAACTTTAACCTTGGCCATAACTTTTGAACGGTTAGAGCTAGGGCTTTCATACTTCACATATGTAATCCTTGTGACAAGACCTTCCTTTGGATACCAACCACTTTGACCCTTTGACCTTGACCTAGGAGTTTGACCTACTTTTGAAAAACTTAAACCTTGGCCATAACTTTCGAATGTATGAAGCTAGGGCTTTCATACTTCACATATGTAATCCTTGTGACATCACCTTCCTTTGAATACCAACCACTTTGACCCTTTGACCTTGACATAGGAGTTTGACCTACTTTTGAAAAACTTTAACCTCGGCCATAATTTTTGAATGGTTGGTGCTAGGGCTTTCATTCTTCACATATGTAATCCTTGTGACAAGACCTCTCTTTGAATACCAACCACTTTGACCCTTTGACCTTGACATAGGAGTTTGACCTACTTTCGAAAAACTTTAACCTTGGCCATAACTTTTGAATGGTTGGTGCTAGGGCTTTCAAATTTAACATTTTTTATCTTTTGGCCTTGATTTTGACTTGCATTTGAGAAACTTTAACCTTCGCCATAAGCTGCCATACGGGGGCATCAGTGTTTCACAAACACATCTTGTTATTGCTAGGGTTCGAACTCCACAAATACCACATTAATTTTAAGAAAATTTTCCTCAGAAAAATGTTTTGTTTATCATAGTTTCATTAATTTCAATAATGAGAACTTTACTCTAAATACTAGAAATTGAACATGATTTTTATTTATTTGAAGCTATGGGCTTTCTGCACGCTATGTTCACCTATCTCCTTAAAAGTACAAACCAGTAGAGCTACAGCCTCGTCAGAGACTTCTGGCTTATATGCATTCGTACACTACACACCATCTTAAAGTTATGACGTCGATGCATTAGTGATTAAAGTAGAAAATATGAATAAATTTATATTAATAGTTTTCAATAAAGTTATTGCCTGGGCAAGGTTTTTGACCTACTTTCAGTGTCTTATTTTCCAAGCATTGATGCATATATCCTTGAGTAAAGATTATGAGACATCTTAAGGGCATTGGAACAAAAAAGTTTATAAATAAACTTTTGAGTAAAGTCTATACTTTGAACTTTATGGCTTTGAACACTGTTTTAACCTTACATTGACCGGTGACCTTTTGCCACGGCTACTAGTCATGAAGGACAACATAAAGAATATGTGTAAGCGTATACCATATACAATGTACATAAGCATATCCCTGATTTTTACAGGAAGGAAAATATTGTCATGCTTTCATGAACTAGAGAAGAAACTGTACAGCGCACTTTTTAAACTGAATTTAATTATTGAAAATTTAATGAATAATATATTATTTATGTAATTACTTATGCTTGCATCTTACTTCCAGGCTTCAAGCATTACACACTAGAATGCCTGATTAATCTGATGCACCTCTAGGTCTTATAAAGTGCGTATGTCCCTACGTGATTCCATAAGAGACAGAAACGGGAAATTCAAAAATGACGCAAAGTTCATTTTTGGAAAAACAAATTGGATTCCAGACTCTGAAATTAAATTTGCAGGGTAAATATCATTGTGCTTTTTTTGAAAATCAGTTCCCAAATGAGTTGCAGCCGATGTAGCCAATACTGAAAATCTGTATGATGCTTCATAACTCTCGGTAAATAGCAGTGTCACCCAAGTACTTCATAAGAGTTACCTCCTCCAAGACGAGAACTTCTGTATACCATTAAAGACACGATGTACACTGACGGAAAAGGTTTTTTGACTATGAGAAAATTATTTCATGTAAAAGTTTAAATTCACATTTGATCTATTTCATTTTCAACATAGAGCCGTTTACTACCAGGAAAATGTCAAAAACAACAAACTAATAAAAATTAGTGTTGTTTTATTACATGGGGAAAATGCAAATAAAGCTTCTATTGATGACAAATTGAGTAACTGTAGATTTCAGTATATTTGATTTTAGTTCCAAAGGCAGATCACTCTATTCTTTGTAAAAGTAAATGTAACATTTTTAAATTTCATATGGCATCCGACGCCAGTAGACGAATGTTTCTTCAAAGGTAATGAAACTATCATTGAAAAGTTTGTGTTTTAAAACCAAAAAGAACAAGATGTGTTTGTGAAATATTGATGCCCCCGCGGCTCAAGGCCAAGTTAAGGTTTTTCAAATATAGGCCAAGAGTTCCAAATGTTAGTACCCAAAGAAAGGTCTTGTCACAAGGAATACTTATCTGAAACATGCCATCGCACCAATCATTCAGAAAATATGGTCAAGGTTAAAGTTTTTCAGAAGTAGGTCATACTCCAAGATTAAGTTCATGAGATAAAAAAAATATTGGTACCAAAGGAAGGGTCTTGTCACAAAAATGAAATATGAAAGCCCTATCACTAACCGTTTAAGAGTCATGGCCAAGAATAAACTTTTCCAAAAGTAAGTCAAACTCAAAGGTCAAGGTAATGAAGTCAAAATGTTGGAACCCCTAAAAAGGTTTTGCCACAAGGAATATACGTGATATATGAAAGCCCTAGCACGAACCGTTCAAAAGTTATGTCCAAGGTTAAAGATTTATTAAGTAGGTCAAATTCCAAGGTCAAACGGTCAAAAATATCTGTATCCAAAGAAAGCTCTGGTCACATGGAATACACATATGAAATACAAAAGCC